ATCCTTGCTTCCTTTGTACACTGCCGCTTTTAGCTGAGGTGGTTGTACTTCTGATTCAGGGAGAACAAGGCCTGTTTTGGGGGTTTTACATGCTCAGCTTGTGTTGAGCTCAAGAGTACAGGCTAAGTGCTTTTAGCCTTACTGAACCATTAAATTTGACCAGTGAGCAATGTAAAATAGTTACTTAACAAATAAGCAGTATTCTTGCTCAACACCCTTGATTTTATGAAACTGTCACCCACAGACCATTGGGAATGTGATCCCTTGGTTGCTTTGCAGGCATATGTAATGGCTGTGTTTTAATTTGTGGTTGGATACAACTCTCCTTTCCTCATCTGTTTCCAGTGTGGAAATAGGCGAGAGTGTACGTGGAGAGGATGTCTACATTGTGCAGAGTGGCTGTGGTGAAATCAATGACAATCTGATGGAGCTCCTTATCATGATAAATGCCTGTAAGATTGCCTCAGCCAGCAGAGTCACAGCTGTCATACCCTGCTTCCCTTATGCTCGGCAGGACAAAAAGGACAAGGTAAGGGATGTGGTAAAGGTTCTTGTTTGGAAGATGAATGCACACCTTGAAAGTCCTGACTGCTGGATAGGGATTAGATGAAGTTGAGTATGTAGACAAGGAGATAAAACTTATTTTAATTTCTTTAAACCTCAGGGCATCAGCCTGCAAATTTATCTTTTCATAAAGATCTAGTTCATCTTGAAAATACATCAAGCTGTAATCACTGGTTGATGAAAAGATGCAGTGTTAATGAGTAGTCCTTTTAGTAGCTGCTTGTGAATCATTTGACATCTTGATGAAGGAGTTGAACTTGTCTTAAATATTGTTTTTCTTCTTGTACTAGAGTCGAGCTCCAATCTCTGCCAAGCTGGTTGCAAACATGCTATCTGTGGCAGGTGCAGATCATATTATCACCATGGACCTGCATGCATCTCAGATTCAGGTAGGAGCTAAAATCAGGGAAGTACTTACCTGTTCCAATCTGAGCCTCTTTACTGCCTTGCAGGTTTTCTCAGTGAAAGACACTCAACATAGCAGTGATCAGGACTTGGGAACATGGGACTGGATGGGACTTGCAGAATCAGTCAGAAGAGGATGGGGAGATGGGTAACAGGTTCATCTGTAAATGAAATTATAGCTGTTCTTGATCAGACTAAGCATAAAGAGTCCTGTGGAAATGAATGTTGAGCTAGTAAAAGATCTGTGCAACTTCACTGCCACACAGTGACACTGTGTATTCTTAACTGGTCCTTTGAGTAGTTTGAGATGGAGAATGGCTTTATCAAGAGTGTTCTTAAATATTGAGTAGAGTTTTCTGATATTTACTGAATTCTCAGGGAGAAGTGAACAGTGCTGTTTGACATAGTGGCTGATAATACTGCTGCCCTGAGGTTAGCCCTGCCCCCAGATGTACTGGCATAGCTGCTTGTGAGGGTTCAGTTGACCAGGATAGTGATCTGATAGCTTGCTGCTGACAAGATGGGCAGTCCTACTTGTATCCATTCAGTGGCACCCTTCCACATAAGTTGGTTTTGGTTCTCTCCCAAGCTGCTGGTGAATTGAAAATTATTCATGGGTTTTGCTGGCTTAGTGAACAGAATAATCTCACAGAGCGATTGAAGTCTTGACCAGAGCTATGTAAGAGAAGTGGCAAGAGCATATACCAGGGAGAGGAGGGACAGCAAGCTGTTAAATTATCAGTCTTGTCTCTTTACACCTTGAGCAAGTGCTCTGAGGCCAAGAAACCAACTCAGTGAGAGGGATGTGGCAGAGGAGAGGATATCTATTGTGTTGCTGCAAATACTTTGAATCCAGAAGGCCAAGATGTGTATTGCCTGGTGAAGTAGGTGGGCTGGCTTTCATTTTGACAGTTGAAAATGCAGCCATTCATACTTTGCCAGAAATACTTTGTTTCAGCTGGAAAAAATCTATGGGGGCACAGCTGAGAAGACTTTCAGAAAGATCATGAAATAAGAGCAGAGCCCAAGGGGGTATGCCTCTTCCATAGGAGGCTTGGAGTTGTGCCATAGGGTTGACCTTTCACCAGCAGCAATGGTGAGATTAATGGAATAATTGCGTTTGTGTATTCAAGCTTCCAGCATCTGACTGGTTTCAACCTGGTTCTTGTAGTTGCTGTGTTGCTGAGTGCAAAAGGAATGATTGTAGGAAGGATTTGTTACTCCTATACTTTGAAGCATTCCTCTAGAGTAACTGCCCCTGCTCTCCTGCCTATTACACCCTGACCAGGATTAAGTTCTGGCTTCTAGTGACCTTTGAGGTTTACCTGGAGTAGTCTGCTGGAAAAGACTAAAGTTGTGGAACTAGCTGTGTTAGTTCAAAACCAAATGTTACTCAAACCTTTTTCATAGGTTTCCTGTAGATGCAAGCTGTAGGTAACGAGCTTTAAAGATTGACTTTGTAAACAAGCAGCTAGCTGCTCTGAAAATGAGTGTGTTTGATGCTGGTTTTCTGCACCCCCTTAGGACAGAACTAGTTCCACGTTGTGAAGGAGTCAGATGTAAAGTGTTCTTTATGCTGCTAAACTATTTCTGGCTCTGAAGACTTCTTATGTTACTATTATGTGTATCCCAAAGACTACTGCCCTTGCATTAAGGGAAGTAGAAAGGACAGCTGAAAGCTGTGGAAAGGCTGTGGCTGCATGCCTGATCATATAGAAGGCTTCTTCCAGCTGTTTTTTGGAATGTGACATTCAGCTACATCTGTTCCTGTTGTCTTCCTTGCAGGGTTTTTTTGATATCCCTGTTGATAACTTATATGCTGAGCCTGCTGTACTAAAATGGATCAAAGAGAATATTCCAGAGTGGAAGAACTGCACCATTGTTTCACCAGATGCTGGTGGAGCCAAGAGGTAAGCTGTCAGACAGCTAGCTTGAGGTGCTGCTTCTATATCTTCTTGAATTCCTGAGAGTGCTTGTGACCTTATTCTTAAGACACATGTTGTCCCGTTCCACTCAGTGGGTTAGGGTGAGGTTAACTTTTTAATTCTCTGCGTGGTACTCGAGTAATGACAATTACTCTAGAGGTTCAAACAAACCACAAATTTACTTAAAACTCAGCAGAACTACAAAAGATAGTGGCTTGGCAAAAGTTATGACAATACTTAAAACTTAGCAGAACTACGAAAGGTAATGGCTTAGCAAAACTTGTGACGATATTATCTTAATGTGCTGAAAATGAAGTTAGATACAGAGAGTGATGGAGAGGAAAAGAGAGAGAGATAAAAGATACCACCACCCTTGGATCCAGTTATGTTCTCTGCTTGTAGTTGTAGTCCTCAGGTGGTGGGCGTGTGCCGAGAGCTTGTGTTTCCTCTTTTTATAACCCAAAAGGCTCCGCATAGGCAGGGCTCTGGCATCACTGAGCAGGCGCAGCATGTGCTCAGGAATGATCCAGAAATGAGTCGGTGGGTTGTGGGGGTCTTGGGGGTCTCACTGTGCCCCTGCTTTGGGGTTGACTGAGTAATGGCCTTTCACGGGCATGCATGCACAGGACACAGATGGTGTTTTGTCTACATGTTTCAGGAATAGGGAAGGGGGCTCACAAGACAGTATCCTGCCTCCGCAGGTTCTGTCCTTGGCCAAGATGGATGTGCCATTCCCTTGACATTCCCTCAACATTCTGTCATTATCAGTTTGTCCCTGCTTGGGTTGAGATGGATATTTGCGACATTCACTTGCTATCAGGGCCTTACAAATGTTCCCTCTGCCAGCCTGCCTTCTGTAAAACAGTCTATGGCAGCTAATGAAGAGTGATCAGATATTCGTCTAGGAAATGTTTGGAAGATTTCTTGGACTACATGGATAACTAAGTAGCTTCTAAAGTCACAGTTGCATAGGTAGGAATTGTGCAATTACTACATCCCTTGGAGTACAACAATTTTTTGTAGAAGCATAATTATACAGGTTGAAGGAGGGAATCACATAGCTCATACCCTATGCCAAGACAAGGTTACTGTTGCTGGTTAATGATAAATTTTTATCCAGACTGTTTTCTTTGCAGTATTAAGCTTAGTCTATTAAGGTATTTTCTTACTTAATTACTCTTGATTTGAATATCTAGCTGGGATTTAAGCCTCCTGCTGCTACTCCTTTTCCCTAAGAGCAAGAAAGATAGATGATTTCTTTCCAAAAAGCAGCAGCATATTTTATAGTACATTTCTACTATGATAGTATGACAATCTCCCATCTTTCTGCAGATAAACATGCCAGTTTGTGGACAGTTCAAAATGTTCTCAGGTGCTTATTAGGAGAAACTAATGCTTCTGTATAAGGGCTACATGTGAACAGCAAGGGGACACAGGTATTCTTTAATCCAGGACCGTCACACCAAAATGTTGGTGCATGCTGACCTGATTCATGTACTTTAAAGTGTTTTAAGCTATCAATTACAAACAGCCAAGAGATACTACTGCTGCAGGCTGCTGTATGTCTTCCTGTAGCTTTGTTATGGCCCATGTATTAGACAAGAGCTTTTGTATATTCAGCTGCTTCTGTAGCTTGTTGCATAATGCAGTATATGAAATGCCAAGTCAGCCAGCTCCTGGAAAAGTCACTTAAACTGAAATGTGTCAGTCTTAGCCAGTGCAATGTTTTATGGAGATACCACAGAACTAAATACTTCAGTAAAGAGTTTAGTTAATGATCTTGTGTAGGACTCCCAGGGTGATGAATCTTATTTACTGAGGCTAGGAGTCTACTCATCTCAAGCGTAGACTTTCTTAGGGGCATGTGTATTTTGTTCCATCTTGCTCCTAATGCTTTTAAACTCTCTACTATTCTTCAGAATCAATATATAAAGTTTAGGTCCCTCTAGTAAGGTTGTTCTGCGGTCACTTTAACCAAAGTAAATGTGCAATGATGAACTTGGATGTGTACTCCTGCCACTGTCCTTGTGCCAGCACTTGTATGCATGACAGTTGAATGCTTCTATGAGTGCGAGTAGATCCCTGTTGTAGCAGAACTTAAACCTTTCCAGTGTAGTATTATAAAGACAACAACTTCCCAAGCATTCTGATCACTTCAAGTTTGCCAAACCTGCTGGTTAAGGTTTGGTTTGAGCTTTAAATCCAAATTAATTTACAGTGGTCAGGATGAAAGACTGTTTTATCTGTTGATGTCATTGGGAGAGATTAGATTAGAGATTGCAGTTTAACTGCTTGAAGGGAAACTAAGGTGGCAGAGTATCTTCTATTAACTGCTTGGGAGTGGTAACAGATGTGATGACAGCTTCTCTTACTGCAGTAGCAGTTTGTGCTTGTAGTTTTAAAAGATTCAATTGAAGCTATTGTGTGGAATTAAATGTTGTTTGGAAACTGTTCTCTCTTCAGAGTGACCTCCATTGCAGATCGATTGAATGTAGACTTCGCCCTCATTCACAAGGAGCGCAAGAAGGCCAATGAAGTAGATCGCATGGTGCTGGTGGGTGATGTGAAAGACAGAGTGGCCATTCTGGTAGATGATATGGCAGACACATGTGGTACCATCTGTCATGCTGCAGACAAGTGAGTAGGGCTGACTGATTCTTTCCTAAATCAGAAACCTATTGTTAGTGGATGCTATGTAATGAGTTAATCAGATTATCTGCATGTCAGGTTTCACAAAGTAACACAGTTTCTTGATTTTCTATCTCATGTCAGACAAAATAAGTAAAAAGCCTTGTTAAAGATCTCACAGTGGGAATAGCTAGACAACTATAGCGTCTTTTTTTATTTGAAAAATGCTTATGTTGAAAGTATGCCTTCCACTAGACCATCACTGACTATGCTAGGCAGAACTAAGTGCTTAAGGTCATACATATGAATTTCTAATAGAAGTAAGCTTTTCAAGCTTTGATATCTTTCAGGCCTTCTACACTAGAAACACTAGCATATCCAACAGTCAGTATTAAATATCTGCTACCTTGTGTTGACAAAAATCACGGAAGGCAATTTGTATGATCTAGTCTGAATGTGCCAGGGCTAAGAATAATATTTTTTTCAATGTATACTTTGTCTGTGGTGGATTTTATGGTACTCATTAAACTGTTTTTCTTCCTCCAAATCAGTGGTGGTCTGGAGGGTGGAATCAAAGGTAGCTTGTCCCCTAAGCATGTGGCATTGTCTCCTTTCACACTTACCATGTGCCCTGCACTAATGTCAGTTTAATGTTTGCTAGCAATTTCTTACCCTTCTCCTTTTTTCCCCCCTTGTAGGCTTGTGTCAGCTGGAGCCACCAAAGTTTATGCCATCTTAACTCATGGGATCTTTTCTGGGCCAGCAATTTCTCGGATCAACAATGCGTGTTTTGAGGCAGTTGTAGTCACAAATACAATACCCCAGGAGGACAAGATGAAGCAGTGCCCTAAAATCCAGGTGAGCATCTACTTTCTCTTCTGTCACTCCTGGAGGGTGGTAGCATTTTTCTGCCCTCTTGGTGGGGAAAACCCCGTAATACTGTCTAGTGCTTGCAGCAGTGTCATTGGCACTGGAATCAGTGACAGTGTTGACTAAGTTCTCTCGTTCCTATTGCTGTGGGATAACAGACCTGTTACAATGATAAAATGCACCTTCTAATCCAGCTCCACACAGTAACTTGTGAGAGACAAACAAAACCACTTTGCCATCCATATGAAAGCTAAAAGCTGGTCTCTTGATGGTCACTCTGTCTTGGATTTTTCCATTTAGGAAAAGTATTGTGGCATTTTGTTTCCCAAGCTGAGGCTGACTTTCCTGGAAGGAAAAAAATTGGCTGTACAACTTCAGCTAGGCAGAACTTGAGGATTTCCTGTATTAATGGACAGCTGCAAGCTTTACCTGAATATTCAGGTATAATAGGTCCATCAGAAGCTTCAGGTACTGCTATAGCATACACACAGCCAAGGACATCCTAAATACTAGCTTCACAGCACAGATATATAGGACACACGCATTTGGAGAAGTTCTGGAAAGTGTGTTATGAGTGTAGCAGGTTCCCTGGTACTGGGGTTCTGGTGAAAAGGAAGCTCAACTGCTTGAAGCTGCAGTGAATTTTAAGCTGCATTTGGAAGCAAGTTAAGCTGATTGCAACTGTTACTGAGTTGCATTTTTTTTCAACACTAACTTCTGGATGATATTCCTGCAACTGAGCACATCTAAAAGATGTCTGATGCTTCAACTTCTTTCCAGGCCACACACTACAGTTAATGTAGGCAAAATGTTAAACTGGTAATCAGTATGTAAATAGCTGTAGCCAAAGATTGCAGTGGAGTAGTTTTTCAGGCTCTCACATAACGCCGCACTCTTCTACACTACACATCTGATGTTGAGTGAGAAATACAGAACTACAGGATTTGTCATAAGTTTCACGCTCTGCAGCTCTTAATTTTTTTTCTTTCCTTCCTTAGGAGGCAAACTGTCTGGAAGAAAGAAAATATTTAATATGGATTTCACTTAGTTTCCTTTATGCACCATGAACATGGTGCTTCTTACTGAGACTATGCATATCAAAATGCTTTAGCTGCTGGGATTCAGAGCTAGAGTTTGATTGAGAGGTGCTTTTCCCTCCTTTTAACTGGATTACCCCACCAGGTGGAGCCAGCACAGCGACTGGGAGCTGAGTTGCAGCACAGTAGCTTCATCTTTCTTAGTCTGCTGGCAGTGATGGTAAAACCTCATGACTCAAGGGAAGCGATCTGATCTTGATTTAGTCTCCCGTAACTTCTCTGCAGCCTACACAAAGTGAATAAGATAGTCCTAGGGTAAACAAACTGAGTTTAGAGAGTCTCAGCAAAGAAAGATGACAGTGACAAAGATCAATAGCAAAATAATACTTCTAGTGCTATATGTAGAATATCTTCAGAATTATATGTAATTAAATCCCAATCCTGTGTAGAAGTCATTTCTCTGCATCTGGCATGTTATAAATTTGGGTGATGACTTTACTCTTGAAGTTCTTCTGAACTTACCAACTGTTCTTCCAGGTTTGATATCTATTCTCAGTGATGTTGATGCATCTTTCTTCCCCTCCAGGTGATTGACATCTCAATGATCCTGGCAGAGGCCATCAGGAGGACTCATAATGGGGAATCTGTCTCCTACCTATTCAGCCATGTCCCTTTATAACAGATGCCAGCTGCTGCTTGTATGGCTTTTTTTTAAAACCAAAAGTTGTTCAGCTTGTAAAGTTCAGTAGAAGACTCTGCTTGTTCCAGTGCAGTTCTCCACAGCTCCTCCTGCTTAAGCCAGGCTTACTGGCTCTGATTTCAACACTGGGAGGCTGGGGGAGGGGGAAGCTCATCTCTGTAACACTCAGCCTCCAACAGCAGCCCTGTGCATTGGGGCTCATCAGTAGTATTGACTGAATTCTGCAGATCTGTGGAGAGCGGGACTGACATATGGCTAATTGCCACTATTATTTGGGGTTGGGGGGGAGGGTTTGTCTGTGGGCAAGGGTTAAATGATCTGGCATGCACACCCTAAATTGTTTGAGAAGTAGAGCTCTCTAGGACATGTTGATCTGGATCTACACCAAGAGCCTGAGAGACTGCTGGCTGTCTTACCACTCTATACATGACAGAAGCCCTTCATGAGTGATGAGGAAGTCTTGTATCTTGGCCAAACTGGACCCTAGGTGAAGCCCTGGGGGACACCTGGGAGGTGGTTCTGCTACAGCTTCCTTCCTATCAAAGCAGATCAGTGTAGCTTGCAAACTTGAATTCATCTTAATTATTGATGAACTTAAATGCTCTTTAGCACGCTACACAGCAAAGTGAAGGTGAGAGCATAGTCTGTGCAGTACTGCCTTGCTGTGTTAACTTTGTGGTGAAGGTGCATCCTGGACAAGCATTCCTCTCCCTCTTACGTAGAGGACTCATGGTGGTTGTGTGCTTTAGTTTCTAGTGTAGGCTAAAACCAGTTCCTCAGTTTCACAGCTTACTGTTAGCCTTGCTGGCAATTAGAGAACTGCTGTCATGTACTATAGCTGCACCTTGACTTGCTGTGCAAATCCCCAGTACACTAGTAAACTGAGCCTCTTTATCCCATAGTAGCTTGTTGCATCTAGGAAGTGCCTGCTCAGATGCTGGGGTAACCTAATACACAACAGCTTTGTGTCCAGCTGTCTTAGCCTCTCATTGCCTGCAATCCTGTTGTCCTGTAAGTTACTAACATGTTCTGGTTGCTTGTCCTGGTCACTCTGCCTTGTCTTGAAAGTGTTGCTCCTTGCAAAAGATCTTAACAAGGAGCATAGGAGGTTGCAGGACTTGAAGAAGCCCTTGGAGTGGGTCTGATGCTGTTAGTGAGTGCTTACGGCAATGGGTTGAAGAGGCTGGTGATACATAGTACTGGGAAAGCTGTAGATTTAACACCAACCTAACAGGCAGCAAAGTGCCTGAAAGAAATACCAAAACCGGAGCTCCGCTGAGGCTCCCAAATGTAATAAGTATCATCTGAAACTTGAATGCTTAGTAACTGTACCAGACAATCTAAGGTAAACTGGTAAGTCTCTTCTGGACTCTTAGGGGGTTATAGACCAAGCTGTTTTATGCTCTGTTTTCATAAGCACTCCTTTTTTATTTGTTTTTGAGCTGGAGGAAGGGAAAAAGAAGGAAGTTGAAATTACTTGCTATAGTAACCAGCATGGCTTTGAGAGACTAGGAGCTGCAGTATAAGTAGAAATAACGGAAAGACTTGTTTAAGATCTAGGGGCATACTTCTTCAGTTGTGCCTTTTACTGAAGACTTCTCTCCCTTCCTAGAACTCCTGTCCTGTGACAACATTAATACTGTTGGGTTTTTCTTTTTGTGTAAGAATTAGTGTTTTTCCGGAAAGTGTGTGTCTCTTGCTTCTTTGCTTTGCATCCTGCCACTGAGCTCTACCGAGAGTCTGATTCCTGCCTCCTGTATTGGAGCCCATGCTGCCACACTGCCAGTACCCTGAGAGCCAAGAGCCAGGACATCAGAGCAGCCATGTGAGGATTGTCAGCAGCATTTGTGTTTAAACTTAAGACCTGATGAAGGAATTAAACTTTTATTTTAAAAAAAATGGCCTCTGCCTATAAATGCTTCTAAAAACCTTACAAATGTGATGTGCATCTTCTGAGTTGGGTCACTTGCAAAGTGGATCATGGAGTAATGTTATTTGGAAGGGATCTTGGAAGGTCTTCTGGTTTAACCCTCTTGCAGCAGGACTGACTGTGAGGTTCAGCTTGGCTATGCTCACATTGCATGGAAGAAAAAGCTTGGGACCAAGCTACTTAGTGGGTAGTAGCTTTTGTCTGTATCTGATTTCCTCGACTTAATTGTTAGAGGTGGTAATGCAGCTTCTCTTGTACTGTTCAACTTATGTATCTGAGCAGATCTGTTCACATAATGTTAAAGTAGCAGAAAACCTGAATAGTTTAGCAAGTACAGATGGAGAATTGCAAAGTGTCTTGCACAAACTAATGATCACACACAGCAGGATTATGTCCTGAGAAGCGCTTGTTCTAACTAAACCATGATCCTCTCTCATTGTGTATTGTAGACTGGAAAAATATAAATTAAGTCAGAAATATGAGATAGCAGGTCTAGAAAGGTCTTTGGCTTTACAATGGGCTTCCAGGCCTAGATTGAATGTTGCTTCAGGAAACAAGACTTCAGGTAGACTTTTGCTGAGGATCACTACTGTCATTCATCTGTTAAAACATTTTTCAGTACTGGTAAATGGAGAAGTGAACTATTGTATTTTTTCCTCAAATAGCAGAGGGGTGATGTGTGCCATGTCAGGGCACCGTAGCAGACTTCACCTTCCTTAGAGAAGAAACAACATGAGGTTTGCAGCCAAAAATTTGTACAAAGGTGACCATTGCTATTGGTGTGTATATACTCTTTTTTTTAATAAAACCTAGAGGTTGGAGTGGGGGAGCGCACAGATTTAAAATGCTGTATGACAGCACTGTACTTTTAAAAGGATGGGTGATACACAGGGTATGAGAACTGTCCTAAGGAGGTAAAGCTCTTCTGCTCTGGAAACCTCGCTCAGATCAGAAGGACTGGACACTTTACAAAAGCTTCTTCCCTAAATTAAAAAAAAAATACTTTGTAATTACTAAGCCAATAGGTAGATTGTGAGTGACTGACCAGAAGTGACTGTTGTGCTATTAGAGTAAGCATGGCTGCCTTTAACACATGCATGTAGTAAAAGTACTTTTCCCTGGCCAGGACAGCCATGGATGTAGTACCAGGCAGCCATGGGAGGAAACCAGCCCCTGAGGTGTGAATGGCAGGGAGTCAAGTTCCTCCAGTGCCCTCCAGGTTTGGGAATAATGCAGGGACGCTCATCCCTTAGCCCAGGCAAGTTCAGTTCCAGCAACATCAGTCGTGCTGTGAAGTGCTTGTGCTATCTTGAGTTACCTGCGGTAGTGGAGGTGATTCTCCAGCCCGTCCTGGAGAGATGCTGGAGTGGGTACAGAGCATGCAGGGTAGTCTGGAAGTGAATTGTGCGGTGTCTTCTCAGACTGACTTCACAGCTACTGAAGAAATACCATAGAAAGCAAGTCATTACTTCCCCAGGAGAAAATCCCAAGCAAGTAATTTACTGTGCTTTTGTAGTTGAAGTACTGGAAGAGCTGGACAGAGTTACAGCAGCTTGCTGCTGTAGCTTGTGCTACAGACACAGCTGGAACATGGCTGCAGGTGTGCAGATGCTGATACTGGTGCCAGTAACTGTCTTTGCCTGCTGTAAAAGCAGCAGTAGAAGAGAACTCTTCAATTGAAAGTCCTGCATCTTAGCCCAGCTCACCTGCCTGGGTAGCGGAAGCTAGTGTGCAGGATGGCCACTGTAAGCCACTGTGAAAGCTGGGCTTCCCATTGGTGCCTTGCAGGCAACAGGACTTGTCTGCTGTTTGGAGCAAAACAAGACAAATCTCAAATTGCTGTCATCAGCTCTGTCCTGCTGCTTCTCCCTGTGCCTTACTAGTGTACAGAGTATTTCTCATCTCCTGGAGTCGGTGTTTCTGATCTAGAGGAAGCAGCAGCTTGCTTTGCTGCTGTTGGGCAATGGGAAAGTAGTAAGGGTTAATAAAGCCACCCTCTAAACTGCAAGGAGCAGCAAAATCCATGGGAGCAATGAGCCCTGGTGTAAGACACAAAGGCCTGAGTGTGCTGGCTGCCTTCCTGGGGCTCTGCTTCGGCCCCAGTAGAAGGAAAGGGTCTTGGCAGGAGGCTGGGGTTAAAAATTATCAGGAAAAAGTAAACTGGCCCTGTGGAATAGGGAGGACTGGCTCACAGCTAGGCAGTGGTGGCTGAAAGCTCAGGTCCTGGCTGGCTGCATTGGTGCCCTGCAGGCAGGAGGATCAGTAGGCAAGAGGCAAAACAAATCTCTGATCAGATAGAGAAAACCTCCTGCCTCCTTCCTGTAGAAGAAAATAAAGTGTTCCTGGAAATGGCCATCAGCAAGGTTCTATCTGAGCCCCAACGGTCGTGTTCTTTGGGAGATTAAAAAACTAATTTAAAATGGCTGGCAGTTCTCTATTTCAGTTCAGGGCTGTTTTTGCTTTCTCCCAATCTGTTGATGTCTCAGTTCTTTTGTTACAAATTATTGAAAGCAGAAATACCAAAATGCATGAGAAATAAGCAGGTTGTGCAGTTAGGGGAGGCTTTGCAAATTAGTCAGAGGAAAAAGTTTTTGCTGGGATATAAGCTCCTTGTTCTTTGTGCAAGATGGATTTTTTTTAAAAGCTCCCTAAGCAGCAGCCCCATGCCTTGCCTGCTGGAAATTTGGAGGGATAGCTTTAAAGCTGCTCCATCCATGGTTTGTAGGAGCGTGGCATTGCCTGCATGGCTGCGGCTGCCTCAGGGAAGGAGGAGCTCCCCTTCCGTGGCATGCGCGGCCACCATGAAGGCTTTGTGCTCAGACAAAGACTCCGGGGTTTACAAAGCACTGCAACATCAAGGAGATGTAACATGTCGCACAGGAGCTGTGCCTTGGCTGGGATGGCTGCAGCTGATGCTGGTGGAGGGCTGTGCACTGGGAGGATGGGGGGGGACCAGGTCCTTTTGCACTTGCTGCCTGTTGGGGATAAAAGCTACAGCAGACTGTGTAGCATCCGCAAAGGAGAAGCATGTGGAGAACAGGCAGGGAAAGGGGGAAGCTGGTGGGAAGGTGGGCACAGCTGAAGAGTAAACACATGGTAGAACACTTGTCTGACTATTTGCATAAAGGCAAAAAGGATTTCCTGCTTTCATTTTGAAACTGGTTGTGGTTTATGTTTCCTTTTGCAGGAAAAGTGAGACCTTTCTCAGCTTGGGGTGGGCTTTGTGATGCAGCTCTGCAGGGTGTGTTTGAATGATGCTTGTGAAGGCAGCCTGGCCTGGGCTTGCTGCTCCTGGCTATATGGTGCCCTGCTGTGGGGCCACAGCCCCAATCAAAGCTGCTCTGGGAGCAGCCTGGCCTGA